GAGTTTCATGCCCATTTTTAATTTTTTTTTTTTTTTTTTTTTTTTGTGATTATCTCCATCTGTTGGTATTGCAAAACCACCCATTTTTAATTTTTTTTATTTTCTTCGTTTAATCAGGGTGGCTGTCTTTGTGTCATGGCGCACAACGAATTTTGGGTCATACAGATATTTATGGAAACCTCAGTATCTTGGCTCAAGATGATCCTGAAGCTCCTTGAATCAAAAACTGATCTCAAATGCATATTTTAAGATACATGAACATGAGCGTTCCTTAGACTTAAAATGTAAGTCCAAATGCAAGCAGCAATTAAGGGGCCAAGCACAACAGAGGCAGAATGAGGAGCAAGCATGGCAGGGAGGATCAGACCAAACGCAACAATGAGTAAGACATTTTAAGGTGATTTTACACAAACTGGCTGAAAAATCATAAATTCAATCATTACTAATATGATTTAATGGCTTATCAATTTTGATCGATAGGTGGCGCTGTTACCAAATTGATGTGGTGTGGTCAGTGTGAGGTGACAATGACACACATAAATTTGGTGTCAGTATGTCAAAGCTTTGCAGAGATACAGCCTCAGATGCAGTTTGGCATCAAATTCGTTGGTGCGTTAAACGAAAACCATTTTATCTATCGACACGAAATTCATAAATTTTTGCCATTATGGTCTGAGGATGATCTGAGCCAAATTTGGTGAAAATCGGACCAACGGTCTAAGTGAAGTTTGAAAAAGTAGGTTTTCAACATAAATCAAAATGGCGGACAGGAAGTTCAGCCGATTATGGCATCATTGGAAATTATGTTCTCTGCATGATCCAAGGTATCTATCAAGATAAGTCTCATGACAATAGGCAAAATTAATCAAAAGCTATTAACATTTTTTGAAATTTCATTATGTTTGCCACAAAACGTTTTGAGTACCTTCAGGGAATTGTGTCGAAGACACATACCACGTTTTGCAACAATACACCAATGCATTCGAAAAATATAGCATTTTTTTTGTCAAAATTCGAAATGGCAGATGCCCAAAATTGCCGACATGGAATATTGGGTACGATATGACTCGTCATGCTGCTCTGAATGTAAAGAGACCAGTCTTGTGATTTTTCAAGATACTGAGGTTTCCATAAACGACCCAAAATGTTTTGTGCACCATGACACACACAAAGATGACCACAGTGATTAAACGAAGTAAAATAAAAAGTACAAAATTGGTGTCTTGCGATACCAATAGATAGAGGCAATCACTCAACTTCGGACCACTGGAGATGGATTGACCAAATGTCAAAAATGTGCTCAATTATCACACGGCTCTTAAAACAGGCTCCATGTTCGTGAGATTCACCCATGATGCAAGCTGATCTGGCACGTAAGAATTACGCTCAAGTGTCCGTGTGATTCTGGTACGTCTAGTCTCTGTAAAAGCGAATGAGGCGGTGGATACGACAGGTACATGTGTGCTACATTCCCCGACGGCTATTTGTGCTTATTTGTGTCATATTTTCTCTGTACATCATTTTATAGTAGCCGCATCCTCTGGAGACACACGACAGACGTATTCATATAAAACAAACAACCTGAACAGACGTCATAATGCCCACGTCATCGTCCCTGTTCCAGGACAGAGCCTATTGCTTCCCAAGACGACACCTCCGACAGTGCTCATTTAGACTTTTTCGTTTTTTCTTGTTTGTCAAGCACAAATGGTTATGGTTGCATAAATGTAGGCGACGGACTAGCATACTCTGACACATAAAGCGAGAAAAGAACACACGCCTTTACATCTGAAGGTCTAGAAACGGGAGAGAGACTGTGTCTCCTACAGCAACACCGCTGCATCCAAAAATGGTTTTAGGAGGCAAGCACGCTTCTCCGCACTACCTCCTCCTTCCCAGCATGCAGTTGGGGCAAGCGCAGCTTCCGGCTGAAATAGCGCAATTCACTGTCACTCTGTTCCGCATCAGAGAAATAGCCGTCTGTTTCAGTGTCGTGCGCGGAGATGTTGTTCCCAGTGCTGTTCTGCAGCAAGGCCTGCGTCGTGTTGCTCTTAGAGCGTGACTTGCCCTGTCTAGGTAGACGCAGACGTAAGGCCACCTGCGAGCGCTTGTCGCTCTCCGTATCTCCATCGTCCGCACCGGTGACCCAAGAGCCATGCTCTTCGGAGATGTGGCACGAGTCCATTTTGGATATGGCTGGCTGCAGAGGGTCCAGCCTGCCTTCGCTGCTGCGGGTGTGATGGTGGTGTGCATGGCGCACTGTTTCTCCTCGTTTGGGACGTTGGTCCTCAGGACAAACCTTGCCTTTAACTGTGGATCTGATTCTTGGAAGCGAGACGGACTTCCTGCGGCTGCGCGGCGCACCCCTCGGCTTGCGGCCCAGCTGGGGCGTCTTCCAGGTGGACTTGATAGAGTGGTCCATCATGAGGCTGAGCAGGTTCTCCTCGCCCTGCAGGAGCTGGTCTGACAGGAGGCTGGCGGAGGGGTTGCGGCTCTCTCCGGATAGAGACCACTGGCTCAGCATGTTATCTGCCGTGATGTGAACCGACTGAGCCAGCCAGCTGTCAAAAAGCGAGCCGTCCAGTGGGAAGGATTTGGAGAAACCTGTGGAAGAGATATACATTCAGTCCGTGTCCAACCCAGCTACTACCAACCCTAATCAAACACATCTGAACCAGCCAATCAAGGCGTCCAGAGGCCTGTTGCATGAAGCCAGTTTCGGTTTTCACCCACGCAAGTTTGTGTTTAGTTTGAGCAAACTCTTGAGTTTTCGGGCTCAAGAAGGTGGGTTGGTTTTGAGCGGGTTTCGTCGCCATAGTAACTTGCGCTACACGGCTACCCTGAGAGATCGTAAACTTAAGCTGGACCAATCAGCTGTGAGGAAAGTGACACATCTGATGCAATAAAGCCACTCCACCTCTATCTCTCACTCCTAATTAAAGCAGCTCACAGTGAAAGAATTTTAAAAAGAAAATTGCCTGTCTTTTGCTGCTAATTATTATATTCATATTATATTAATTATGATTATTTATAATTCAAATAATTATTATTATATGAACTGGCAATTAATATTAAACTGAATTTAAATTAAATATATACACAAATACGTTTTAATATATAAAGCTTTTAAAATGACTAAACTTATGTGTTTTCTTTGGAGCTCTTTGTGAACTATATAAATTATTAATAGATTAAATTATTAATTTATTATAAATTCAGTTGCATTTTCTCTCTGCCGCCTTCTCAAAGTTTTGCTGCAGCAACAGTGTTTAGTCCTGCCTTGTAAATGCATTTAAATTCATAATATTTTTAATAACGACATCTCTTAATCTTCAGCAGAGAAGTGAATTGCACCGACTCTCGTGAGAAGTGAATCAAACTGATGCTCTCCATGTTCCGCGTGATTGGCTGTTTGCTGCACGCGCTTCAGAGTTAATCACAAACTCTGGATCAAACTCTTGTGTTGACAGAGAACGTTTATATCGAGCTTTGTGAGCCCGCTGAACCTGATCTAAACCAGGCTGGATTTGTTTGGTTTTGTCAACTCTAAACTTACTCTGAAACTCAGAGTTTGTTCAGCTAGCTTCATGCAACAGGCCACAGTAAAAGGCATGTAGGACCAGGGTTGGAACTGAAGTCTGCTCCTACTCCTCGTGTAGATGGTGCACCAATACAAAAAAAGTACTGAGATGGGCGCTGTTGCAGACTTCAGCTTTCTGTGTCATCACCACTCATATTTAACTGCTGTATTATGTCAATTTGACCAGCAAAACATTTTTGAGTTGCTGGAAATACTTGTTAACCTAGGATGTTTTTATTTTATTTTTTTTAATTGTGTGACTATTTCTCATTTAGATATTTCATGGTTAAAGTCAGGTGCACAGACCCAAAAAAAAAGAAGAATTTTTTTTTTTTTAAGCGTATTTTAAGTCAGTTTCTCAACTACCCATTGAAGGTATTTACATTCATGCATTTAGCAGTTATTATTCAAAAAATGTATTATGAAGAATGAAGAAATGTTTATCAGTTTATGCATGTAATTTTTTTTGAATGCTCTGCTGTTTGAAAAATATTTTTAAAAATGTTTATAATATTCACATTCTGTGAAAAACAATTAAAAAACAGTTCTTAAATAGTTACAAAAAATTATTTGTTCTCATGTATGTTTACTGTTTTTACCTGATTTATATATACACTGCTGTTCAAACGTTTGGGATCAGTAAGATATTAAATGTTTTTTAAAGAAGTCTCTTCTGCTCATCAAGGCTGCATTTATTTGATCTAAAATACAGAAAAATTGTGTATTTTGAAATATTACAATTTAAATAATGGTTTTCTATTTGAATATATTGTAAAATGAAATTTATTTCTGTGATCAAAGCTGTATTTTCAGCATCATTACTCCAGTCTTCAGTGTCACATGATCTTCAGAAATCATTCTTAATATGCTGATTTATTATCAATGTTGGAAACAATATTTTTTTGGAACCCTTGATACTTTTTTCAGGATTTTTTGATGAATAAAAAGTTAAAAAGAACAGCATTTATTATATATTAACCTTTTCTAACAACACAAGTCTTCATTATCACCTTTTCTCAATTTAAAACATCCTTGCTGAATAAAAGTATAAATTTATTTCTCAAAAAAAAAAGAAAAGAAAAAAATGCACTGACCCCAAATTTTGAACAGTATAGTGTATATTGTTAGAAAAGATTTCTATTTTAAATAAATGCTGTTCTTTTTAACTTTTTATTTGGAACATAAACAGTCGAACCCAGAGTTTTAACATAATAGAACGGCTGAGCGTGTTCATTAGAGCAGAGTGAGTTACTATAACAATATTATTAACATTTTATTATTACACATAACATAATACAAACATATATTACCTTTATAAGTTTAGAGAACATGTATGTGGAATATTTCTACATTTTCCTCCACTTCAAACTCTTTTGTACAGACAATGAAACCGAACACATCATTCAGTTACTTACCCAGCTGTGTGAATACAGAGCTGTCATCTGATCTCCATTTGTCTTTCTTGTCTGGACTACTCTTTCTCCTTTCTTTCACTCGTTCCCTGACTCCATTGCGATGAATCTTCTCCCCTCTCCGAGTTTTTTCTATAACGCACAGAATATAAGAGCATGCAAAACACTTAAAACGAGCAATTAAACACCTTACAGCTGTCAGCCAAATTTGAATTTTTCACTTAAATATTTCAAATTATATTCAGTGCTTTTCAAAGCTGTCCTGAGACATTATTAGCTGTACTGAGACTCATTAGTGGAGACTCCAGACTTGACACATGCGATATGTGCAGTGTCTCCAGCACAGCTTTAGGAAGCACTGAGTTTGAGGAAAAGATCAGCGAACACTAGAATTTAAATCAACGGTCCACAAGAGAGTGCAAGACATAAATCTAAACCAAACAGCACCTCGTTTACTGCATTTATTGTTTACTACAAACCTGGCTGTTAACAAGTGCATTTCATTTTAAACTTCATTTCAAATCATCCTTTAAATTTAGTATTTCATGTCATATTCATTCATTTCAGTCAATTTTAATCGGATTAAAATGGCATCTAATTTTAGTCTACAAAATTGTTAGTTGATGAAACAAACCAAATTTACACCAAATGTTACAACATTTTATGTATTAATTTAAACATCAACATTTGCAGTAACAAAACTCTGATCTCCTGAATTCATGACTATTCTGAAATACAGTTTTGTGGATTCTTTATATTTTAGTTATTCATTTTTCCAATGCATTTTTACAGAAAGAGCACATTCTTAAGTTGTTGCAACTTATATCAGTGAGAAACCTTTAATGTCGACTGACAGTTTTTATTGTCAGGAAATTCTGTGAGGTAATCATTTTGTCATCGGAATATATTTAGGTATGATTTCCAGTTTTAACAGCCACAATAATTTCAGTTATATGATACTAATGCAGATATTTTTGAGTATTGTTCGCAATATTTCAACATGAGCACTTACTGGACTGAAGCAGCTTAGATTTAATTGATTATCCAGACATTATTTTTCCAGAAAAAAAACCATATGTTCATCCGGCTTTTGAGGAATGTTTATTTAATCATCTCTCAATCATCATTGTATTGCATTGCATTATGTTTTAGAACTTTGATCAGAAAACCAAGCATATCTTATAAGACATTTATGAGTCATGATAATTGTTTTTTTATACAACTATTTTGTCTGAAGTTTTCATTTAAAAAATAAATTTTTATTATGTCAGACATGATCTGGAATCATTATAGCTGAGCTCACTTAAAGCTAATACAGCTCAAAAGCATTTTTTTGATTCTTCACAGTGAAGGCTATTTTTTAACCAAGATCCCAAAAACCCACAAATGAGAAAACGTCACATATCAGGCTGCAATCAGCCGCTTAATGTCATGCAAAGCTTCTATACATCACTGTAGTAAATCTCAGTGGTGGATAGTTGCTCGGATGTGATGTCAAGAGGGTTTGGCTGTACGTAATAAGGTCCAGATTAACCTTAAACGGTCTTGTTGAGGGTCGAGGTCTGCGCTGATGAGGCTCGCAGGCCTGGCGGTCGCATGCCAATCTGTGTGTTTTTTTGGAAGTCAGAATAAATATGGGTCTTAACAGCAGATGACAGAAAGCCAGCAAGTAGAGAAAAGTGCTGAGTCAGAGATTCAGGAATAATGAACACTGCAAAGAGGGATCCGACCGAATGCAGCTCGTTCATACAGCACTGTGTGAGAAGCAGGTCAATAGCGACCCTGGAAGCACAAACAAAAATGATAAGGCAGGTCTCATGAATGCAGATCACTCTGTCGTCCCATGACTTTTTTGTTTTAAGCTTTAGAATCTTGTTTATTTTCGCCAAAAGAGCTATTAGGTTTATTTGATAAATTGCAATCCAACATGAACGAACCTAGCATTAAAACCAACTGTATGTCATAATATCAAAATGAACACATTATCTCACAATTTAAATAATTTCTCCCGATTCCCTGAATCTTTTCACAATATTAAGTATAGTAGATGGTGAAAGACCTAAATTCTTTGCAATCTTGCATCGAGAAAAGTTTTTTTTTTTTTTGGCACAAAGTGGTTGCAAAAACTGAGACTTTGGTGGATGCTTCTTTTTTTTAATGATGATTTTGATCATGATGCCCTAAAGTATTACCAAATGCACCTGCTTATTGTGAAATGTTTCAAAACAGTTTAGCTTACATATTCTATAATCTTTTCACTTTTATTTTGCCTCTATCCCAACTTTTTAAAGTTTTTTTTCTTTTTCTTTTACCAGTTAAATGAAGGTTAAAGGTGGGGTAAGCGATTTTTCAAAAATGCTTTAGAAAACTGATTCGGGCCGACTAGCAAAACAAACTTGTAGCCAATCAGCAGTAAGGGGGTGTGTCTACTCATGATGTGGAGGAGAGAGAGTTCAGCGCACAGGACGGACATTAGCCGAGCCGAGCAACAGAAAGATAGAGATGGCGGATAAAA